GCATATCACCGCGAATATCGCCTAGCTTTTCTACAGAGCATTACGCCACTTCACGTAAATATACACTGAGCCTCCCTTGATATACTATGAATTTCGTCTCTTATTCAGATCTCGCTGAGTTATGCTGCTATAACGGTTGTGGCCACACGTGTATGAGGGGTGTCACCGTTGCTGTCACCATGGATAGCCCCTCTAGGGCTTATCGTAAAGTACCACTAGTGCTAGGCGCGTCCTTCATCGGCCTTTTATTATTACATTGACTTCAGCACGTGCTCCAATTAATTGCCCACGGTGTGTCACCATCGAATCTGTTGTGTTTTCAAAGAGTTGTGGTATGCTTTTTAGATTTATTAATGATTATGAAATTCTCATTATACTTGATCGCTCAGCTCACTATCGTCTCAGCAGCTGAACTGGTCTGTCCACCGCTGATCCCCGGGCGGGTTGGTATATGCGTTATGGAATGCTCGGAAGAGAGTCCCTGTGGTAATTGGAATATATGTTCCTATTACTCAGCTGAGCTCGTTAGTTTCATGAATAGTTATATACGTTGACCTACATGAGATGATGTATTAGATTATATAATTATTAGTTATCTATTGTGTAACACACTATCTACGGGCTCATACTGCGGGCTCAGACAGCAGTGACTGTGTCTGCAGCTATACCTCTATAGTGGCTAGTAGAAGAAGAATATCTATCATGGCGATAAACATCTAGTGTGTATTAGGTTGTAAGATATCATTTATTTGGTATAATATCAATAATGGATATATTCGTACTATCATCATTAACAATCAATGTAAATTTATTATCGTATATCACTTTATAGTATTCCTAATAGTAATTATTAATGTTTGGTATATGTTATGTCTATATCCTATCAATTCACACACGATTCTTGGGTAGAAGTGTAGAAAAATCAACAATAATTTCTTCCCAGAATTTCCATATAGTTACCAATGCATATATATAAATATATATATTCCTCTTTCGCTGTTATTAGGAATTGTTTCCTATCGCAGCGATTTAACTATTCGATGCAGCCACACAATGGGAATATATGTTCCCTACTAGGAACTGTCGCAGTCAGCAACTCAGCCATCAGCTTAGTGACGTTTATTTACTTTTTTTCGAAAGGGAATATATGTTCACAGACGATTGTAGAAGTTGCAATATAATCCTCTGAAAAATAATGAACATTGTCGTGTCAGCTTGTGGGAAACGGCGATTTCGAAATCTAGTAAGAGTTTTATTTTAAAAGCATTGTTGTTTTTTTATCAGTTCGTCCCGGTGAGCTCTGCTGCTCCAACGGTTGTGGTTGGATATGCAAACCTGGTGTTACACAAGAGGAATACAAACGCCTTGCTGACTTTGATAATCGGCAAATAAGAGGATGTAAGTAAATTTTATAATTCTCTCGTGATGAGGATATTCTCAGTCTCGTTAATGGTTGGTGTTGGTGATGATGCTGATATGAAAAAAATCAAAACTGAATTGGTAAGGCTTCGCGTAAAGTTGGAGTTTCACCAACCTAGTGATATTAAAAACACTATTCGAAAATATATTTCGCATTTCGTGTTCGACGTGAAATTGGGTGATTTTTTCCGGGGTAATTCACTTAATTTTCACATGGAGTATTACGCCACTTTAGACTAGTGTGTGTTCGCTTTCCTTAGCTGAGTGCTTTATTTTTGCATTTTATAATTTTTCTCACTAATTATAGATGTTTACACACGAATAGTGTCGGAGTCTACAGAAATCGACTGAAGCTCCATCGGAGTTTCACCACTCTAGTGATATGAAAAACATATTTCACGACTGCTGCATATCGCCTAGTTTTTCACCGAGTATTACGCCACCACTTCACGTAAAACGGGTTGTTGTGAAACTCCATTATGCATTTTCGGTCAGAATGAAATCGATTTCAAGAAGAATCTGTCAGCTCAAACGACGTCCTTAAATGTGAGTGTACTGAGCTCTTTGCAAATCGTCATCATCAAAGTTCAAGTGAGTATTATAGTACATTTTTAATTTTCGAAATTGTTGTTATTTGTAGACCTCCAACGCTGAAGATGCGGTTACGCTTAAGCGCACAGTGAAGAAGATATCGATGTTGAGCTCGGCTAATATCGAAACTGAATGGGAATATGTGGATGATTCGATGGGAAAAAGTAGCGGAAATTTTCGAGGAAAATTTTAGATGAAAATTTTTTGCCAGGTTTTATTACACCGGAGATTGAAGAAATGTGAGTATTTTTTTACTATTGTTGGAGTTATAAAAATTTCGTCACTTCTTGTAGTTATCGTTGGTATACTTCGACGGTAAGACTTGCGTTAGTACGTTATTTTTCAATATAACTAGATCTTCGTGATGAGCTCGCTTAGTCCTCATCTATTGATTCACTCAATAGTCGCACCTGGAGTTTGTCCCCGGTCCGATTCCCGGGTAGGACATATCTTTTCTAGCTGTTCGCATCATCGAGTTTTCCGATTTTTCCCAACACCTCCGCATATAGAGGAGTCGTTTGATCTATCTGATAGCCTCCCATGCTTCGTAGTTGAGCCAGAATAATTCTGCACGCATGCACAACGCGAAAGTATCTGTTGTTGCGGTATATGCTCCGCAATAAGAGTCCTGTCAGGCGGTAAGAACACATTCTAGAGAAATGTGAAATTTGTATTTCATATCGCGGGGGTAACACCATAGTAGATGATGATCATCGCATTGACAGAAGTTAGCTCTACTGATTCGTCGACAACAATCGTGTTACAGTATTATTGGCTATCACTAGGAAGGTTTGCATATATCACAAAATTTATTGGAGTTTCACCGCCGCCCTAGTGATATGAAAAACACTGAGTGATAAAACATATTTCACTACTACTGCATACCACCGCGAATATCGCCTAGTTTTTCACAGAGTTTTACGCCACTTCACGCAAAACGGATGAAACTCCAATGCTATACGCATATTGTGATAGATGAAATCCAATTAGATTTCAACTTCTGTTTCAATAACGTCATCACCTTGCATTGCAATACGGTCGGAGGCGTCACTGAATACTTCACCAGAACCACACGTAAATTTCCACAGATACGTTGAAAAGTAAATGGTGTAAAACACTGAGTTCTTCGCGTTTTTCGCGAAATACCGAGAGTGTTTTATGTGAAATGTGGTAATTTGCGAAGTGTTTTTAATTCACTTCCTATCGCCTAGTTATTCACCGAGTTTCACGACACTTCACGTAAAACGAGTGGTGAAACTTTAATATTCTTACGATACAGTTCTGAAAATAACTA